GGGGAGGGCGGGGAAAGGAAAATGAGGAGCTGATTCCAGGAACCCAAGCGGAAAGCGAATTGTGAGAATGATGAGGGCAACAAATGTATGTGTGCTTTACACAATTGATGTATGTGTGGATTGTGATAAGAGTTGTATGAGCCCCAATAAAATGATTTTTTTTAAAAAAGAAAATAAGGCAATCCAACATTATGTGCAGCTAGATGGGAAAATGTCAGTGCTCAGACAGGATCCTTGAAAAGCAACAAAAAAGTTGAACCTGAATGCTGTAGCTAAGACCCTGAGAATTTACTGTTTTGAAGGGATTTATTTGGCACCTGATTCAGACTGTAAACAATGAGAAGATGGAGGAAATCTAAACACTAAGTTGCTATCTAGTGACTTTTCTGTTTTGGGTATGATAATGGCATGTACCAGGGTTACTTTTTTAAAAGAATTTTTACCTTTTAGAATTACAAAATCTGTATGGATGAAACGATAATGCTGTGCCGAACATGCTGTGAAATAATGTGGTGCAGTGATGGCTCTTACTAAGGCTCTTCTATCCATGTCTTTCTAACTCACACCAAATGAATGGGTAAGGTATGCAAATAGGGTGTATATGACACTAACAAAGGGAATGGGTCAGTTTTAGCTGTTACTCAATTGGCTATAAAGCTAAATCTTCTTGGCAGGAACAGAGAGAAACCTCAGGACCATCAGAAGAGGGGCCGCCAGTAGAGCACATTTGGAATCTCGAACTGAAGTGGTGGAGGCTGAGACCAGAGGCACCAGAGGCTGCGGATGGAGACCATGGGACAAGGCACAGGAGTAGCACTGAGAATCTGAAGCACAGCAGCAGGCTGGCTTCCTGGCCCACAGAGGCAAAAGGACCAGAGAGAGACTTGGCTTCTGGATGAGGTGTTGTGGCTATGAACAAATTAAGGACTGTGTCCTTAATGGTTACTGGTCCTAGCTTGTGATAACCTGTTATCTTCCTAATAGGCCCCCTTAATTGTAAGTTTTGTCTGTGAGTTCTGTGTGGCCACTGCAATGAATTCTCGGACCCAGCAGAAAGGTGTTATGGGAGGAATAGTTGGTGCAAGAATGGGGTAAAGAAGGATGGAGAGTGAAGGTTTGTCTGACCCCAGCCTTATGGCAATAGGGAAACCAGAAGTCAGATATAGCCCCCTTGCCCATTCTTCAGCTAGAAGTTAATTGGCCTGAGTTAGCTGTTGAAGCTGAGTGAAGAGAACATAAAGGTTCACTATACTAATTTCTATTTTTGTATATGCCAAAAATTTTCCAAAAGACAGTCTTTAAAAATGGCCAAACCCAAACTCACTACCATTGAGTCAGTTCTGACTCATGACCAACCTATAGGACAGGGTAGAACATCCCCTGTGAGTATCCGAGACTAACTCTTTATGGGAGTAGAAAACTTTTGTCTTCCTCATTAGAGTGGGTGGTGGTTTTGAACTGCTGGCCTTGTGGGTAGCAGCACAACACGTAACCATTGTGCCACCAGGGCACCTTAAAAAAAAACAATACAATTACAAAATGTTACCTCTAGATAGGGCCCCTATTCTGTAGTGCAAGGACTGGCAAGTTTTATATATATATATATAAAAAGGGCCACCTAGTGAATATTGTAGCACTAAAGAAGCCAGACAATATGTAAATAAATGGGCATGGCTGTGGTCCCACAAAACTTTAGTTAATCTATTTTAAAATCTCCCCACCCCAACCCCAGCCTCCTAAATCTGAATGTAAGGGTTTCTAAGATGGCTTGGTACTGACCTTAGGGTAGATATTTCAGACATTAATGATAGTTACAAATAATGTATATTGACTGCCAAGGCATTAATCAAAGGGCTTTGTATGAAACCTCTCAAATGCCCACACTATCAGCTGGGTAGATACTTTTATGAAAAAGGTGAAGAAATCTGTCCAATGATTTCCTCCAAAAGGAGGGAATAGTAATACCAGATGACCCAGCAATCTCCCTACTAAATGGAGATTTTATACACACATACACACACACACACACACACACACACATATACATAGATGCATACAAATCAAAGCTGTGATACAATTAGGCATATGTTCATCACTGCGTGACAATAACAAAATGATGGAAAACAATCTCAATGCCCAACCCAGTGGAAGAAAAGATAGATAAACCTTGGTCCATACATACAATGGATTACTGTGGATCACTTAAGAATGATGAAACTGAACTCCTCATGACATGGATGAGCCTAGAGGACCTTATGCTGAGTGAAATTAAGGACAAATACCATATGGGGCCTCTACTGTGGGTCTAGTCACACTAAAAGCAACATTATTTGATGGTTACAAGGGGTGGCAGGGGAAGTCAGGGGCTACAGCGTCATGCTGGCAGGTAGTATGTATGGAATGTATGGCAGGTGGTATAAGCCCAGGCAGCCGGACTCTAGAACTAGTGCTCTCAAACAGACCTCAGAACTAGCATTTCAAGGCATCACAACAGGATGGGTTAGAAATCGGTTTCTATAAGGGCTTTACAGTCTTGTGATCACAGATAATTATAGGCCAACAGAGATCCCAAGTTCGTCTGCCTGCAAAACATTCTAGAGGGTAAACAGCTACTCAGAGGCTGTCCTTTGGCGAGCCCAGATCTAGACTGCACGTGTTCTGTTATCACGGCATTCCGCCTCCAAGGCCACGCTAGCCACGTAACACAGTACAAATTCTACAAGTATACAATCGAGAGACTGGAAAAACAAATAGAGCTCGAGTTTCATGCTAGGACAAGGTGAAAATCAGAATCCAAACAACGTGGCTAAAGGAGGTGAGGAGACGTCACTTCCGTTTCCGATATTACTTTGCCGGACATTGCACTCCACCTTTAAAAATCACCACTGAGGAGGGCACTGGGAAGGAGACATACCGTTTCTTGTTGAATAATCCTTTGGAGGTGTCGCCTCATGATGACTGATCCAAGGAATCTCTCAAGTGGTGAACACAGGTAACTACCTGCCAGGCCAGGTACGAGGCCTGGTGTTGGAGAGGGCAGCAGTAAAATGTTCAAGGCACTGTGTGTGAGGATGGTCGGGATGGATGCTGCCCAGGAGCGCTGAGGTAGTTTGCGGGGCGGAGGCATGTTTGTTGGCATCGTTTGGGAACCTTGAGGGAAAAGATAGTGTATGTTCCTTTCACCGACAAACACAGAGTATCTCACAGGTTCCTGTGTTGCTTTTATTAAAACTCTTTCGGGATGTGAATCTTCAGTGCGGTTTTAGTTGCACCTTGTAGTGGACTCTCAACAACCCCAAGCCAAACTTACCGCCAACGAGTCGATTCAGACTCGTAACCACCTACAGGACAGGGTAGAACTGCCCCAGTGGGTTTCCAAGGCTGTAAATCTTTACTTGAGTACAAAGCTTCATCTTTCTCTGGAGTGGCTAGTGGTTTAGAACTAACTAACTGCTGCCTTTGCAGAGACCAGCCCAATGCATAATCCTATGCTATGCTAGCCAAAAATCAGCCACAATGCCCTGCATTCATGCCCCTTGGAAGATGATTTTACAGACACCCCTTCAAGAGGCAAGAGTTTTATTTCTCTACCTGGAATAGGGGTTGGCCTTACGACTTGCTTTGGTTAACAGAATACCATGGACGTGACTATGTAGCAGTTGCCAGCCTGGGTTTCCACCCACTCCCTCAGAACGCTGTCCCGTAAACAAGCCTGGACTAGTGGGATAAAGTATGCATAGAGCAGAGCGAAGTCATCCAAGCTGAGGCCACCTTGCCAACCTAGTTGCTGACTGAAGACACCTAAGTAAGGCCAGCAGAACTTGGAGGGAACGCCCAGGTGCGCTCCGCCCAACTTTCCAACCTGCGGAATTGTGAACTCATACACGACTGTGATTTTAAGCTACTAAACCTCTCACCGAAAAAGCGAACAAATACGATCTAAACCATAGACTTACACAGGTCTTCACCTGTGTGTGTGTCTTTTAAGGTCCAGGGCGCCTGCGAAGCGTGAGGAGAGATCTGCAGAGAAGGCATTCTCTTTCTTGACTTTGGCCCGATTTGGCAAATGAACTAGTTAAGCAATTTACTAACTGGATAAAACTGTAAGTTACTAAGTCGCCCCACTCAAATACTAGGTCACGCCTTTCAAATGGAAGCATGGGATAAAATAAAAAGGTCACCTGGGGGTTATAAAAAGCAACAAACACAAACAGTTGACAGCACTTACTCGTTCCAGCTCGAGGGGAATGAGAAGCATCTGGAACTGGAGAATGCAGCGATGGGTTAGCTGGTGACATTCCAGGCATGCGTGTGGCTGGTGAGGGGCCAGACACTTGAGGAGACCCTGGCCAGGTCCCCGCTCGTCCACTTGGTGAGACCATGGTGTATGGTGAACTAGGGTCAAGGGTTCCTGTAAAAATAGAAGCAAATGTTGTTCCAAACCTGTATTTTCATAACTGAACTAATACTTGACAGCATTCAGGTCCTTTCATGGTGATAATCTTTTTCTTTTCAGCAAGACGGATTTCACTGACGCATGATGCTTCCAGATGCCATTTTCTCCATCTCAATTTTGTGCAGTTGATGTTCTTTTAGGCAATGATGTAAGAATTAAGAAAGTAGAGAAGCCCAGGGAAGATAAAATCCCCTTTCACACAAGCTTCAGTGTGTGTAGCAATGTAGCAAGTTGCTTTATGGTATGCCACAATACTAGACAATATCAGCAAAAGGTAAAGCTCCTGGAAGGGCATTTCAGATAACCCTCACAAATGTGTGTTTTCGTTCTCCTCATAGAGGGCTGAGGAGGAGAATGCCCACTTTCTTTCTGTAGTAAAGGCCACATTGACAGTGACCCCAGAATCAACATTTTAGAGCACCTTCCTAAATGATTTGAAATTTTCATTTGTTCCTGCTGGAGACCCATCAACATACTACCTACCTCCCTTTATCGTCAAATGCCACACTGAGGGGGTCTTTCGGAGAGTCAACGGTATAAGTTTTACAAATCATTAAGGAAAGGCAGACCATCACAACAAGAACACAGGCAAAGGATGTACACTGGCAGGCACAGGCACAAAATCAGAAACACCATGGACCAACAAACAACAACTTCATTATCGAAGAAATGCAGAAACAAGGAGAGACCATTTTCCCTTAGCAAAATGGCCAAGACCTTAAAAAAAAAAAAAGTCACAATGCTCCATGATGCCAATGATGCAGGAAGGAGACATTCTTGTATGGTGGTGCTAGAGGACATAGGCACGGCCTTTCGGGTGAACCATTTGCAGTGTATGTTTTGAAAGCTTGAGTCTTTCTGAAACCCTTGGAAACTCGGCAAGTCCACCTTCCAGGAACTTACCTAAAGAAAAACAAGCATGGATGTGTGCACACGTGGCTCAATTTTAACTGGGGGTGGGGGGCATTCTGAACAGCTATTATGTTATAGTATGCCCAGAACAGGGGACTGAAGTAACTGGTATGAAGATGTGGAGGTTTTACTGACAGAAAAATCCCTACAAATAATAACGATAAAAAGGAGCATTACAGATACTCCACTCCACTGAGAAATGAAGGCGCTCTTCGTGTACTCCACTCCACTGAGAAATGAAGGCGCTCTTCGTGTTCTGACGTGGCATGAAATTCAGGACATATTATGAGCAAGAAGGCAGGCACTGAGCACTGAGCCCAAGAGAGGAAAGGGGCATACGTCGCTGCCCCTGGGAAAGGGGACTGGGTTAGTTGGTGGAGTAGAAAGGAAACATTTCACTGCCTAACTTCTTGAATTTTGAACCTAACGTGCACTGGTGGTTGGTGTTTTGTTTTTTTTTTTAAGTTTCAAAATTCCAATCTCCAAACAATACATATCGTAGGAGCCCCATTTTGAGGGGAGGGGTGGGAATGTTTGCGATGGGGAGATGGGCAGAAGGGCGGTGAGCAAACGATTGCAGCCAAGCTGTAAGCAGGCAGGCAGGCAGGCAGTCAGGGCGTGTGAGCAGGCCAGGGAATAAGAGAGGCAGAAAGCACAGGGCAGACAGACAGGCAGACACAGAGAAAGTCCAGGCAAAAAGGGACTAAACTGGTGGTTAACTCTGCCTAGTGGGAGAGGAGGGAAGATTTTCTGTTTTGTTTGAGCAATACTCGTACTATTTTCCCCAACCAACAAGTGCTAATTTTGCAGTTAGGAAAGCATTCAAGAAAAAATGACTTTCGTGTCAAACTCTTATGCTACAGCGATTTCCATGTTTGGTTGGACTCACCATGTGGACTAGCAAAACTGGCCCCTGGTCCTATTGAGATTCCATGCGAGGATGGGGGAGGAGTTGGAACAAATGATGCTGGTGATGGGGCTCTCAAAGCCCCACTGGGGGAGCTGGCAGCATGCAGGTTTCCTAACGAAGGAAAATAAGTATAGATGATCTTGCAGGACATGTTTTCTGTCCTGTCCAAGGACCCCAGCTTCAGAATCTCTCCACAGACTAAAGAAATAGGTGGTAAAGCTCACATAAACAGTGCAAAGAACACCCAAAAAGATTTTGTTATGCAAGAGACAGTCGTTCCATGGGCTCAAATTCTAACTCTCATACTAAGTTTTGTTTCTGTTTTTTTGCACTACCCAAGAATTCTTTATGCTCACACAACCAGTAGGCACATGCACCAACTTCTCACCAGGCACTGTTTTAGGCACTAGGCACTCAGCAGTTAACAAGAGACAAAAATTACTGCCCTTAAGCAGCTTACATTCTAGTGGAATGAGAAACACAAAGAACAGACACATGTCATATATCAGTGCTATGGAGAAAACAGCAAAGCAAGTGAGGTGGGCGAAGAGTATTGTCCAAGGGAGCTCCAAAATGTTCATGGAAAGGGGAATTAAAAGAATTTTTCCAGTGGGTGAAGGGAAACATCGGACAGTGTAAGATATGACAAAATAATGAGGGAGTGGGAAGCGGGGAGGGAGGGAAAAAATGAAGAGTTGATGCCGGGGGCTTAAGAGGAGAGCAAATGTTTTGAGAATGATGAGGGCAATGAATGTACAAATGTGCTTTACACAATTGATGTATGTATGGATTGTGATGAGTTGTATGAGCCCCTAATAAAATGATTAAAAAAAAAAAAAAGGTGGAATTTTCCCACAACATTTTTGAAGTCCCCGCATGTACTAGTGGAAGTGGGTGCTACGATTTACATAGGAGAGGATTTCCAAAAGCTCATGGAAACATATAATAGAAAGATAATGGGCTTTTATCATGAACGTTTTGAAGCCCCCCCCCCCATACATAGAGCAATCAGAGAAAAGTTCTCTAAGAGATATTTGAGCTAAGACATGAATAAAGTGAAGGACAAGGCAGGAGGGTGTCCAGGGATAAGATAGTCCAGGCAAACCAAGATGCAAAACCAATCTCAGTCACTGAGTTGATTCTGACTCATTGGACAGGGTAGAACTGCCCCTGGGGATATCCAAGGCATAACTCTACAGAAGCAGAAAGCCTCATCTTTCTCCTGTGGAGCTGCTGGTGGGTTCAAACTACTGACCTTGTGGGTAGCAGCCCAACTCATGACCCACCACGCCACCAGGACTCCTAACATAGAAGCCTGCATAAGTAACAGAGCAAGTCAGTGTGGCTGGAACAGAGTGAACAATGGGGCGAGTATGAGGCCATGAGGTTGGGGAAGTCTAGATCACATGGGGCCTTGCAGGCCTCTCTGAAGACTTAGACTTTACTCTAAAGGAGAGGGGAAGCCATTGCAGAGCTTGGGGGGAGAAGTCACGAACCAACTCAGAAGAAGCATTCTACCTGCTGGGTGGAAACTACACAGCAGGCACAGGGAAGGCACCTAGAGATGAGTAGTAACTTGGGCAAAAGGGGCAGGTTGAAGTAGTGCACAATGTTAGGGATTCTAGACCCATTCTGAAGGTAGACCTGACAGTATTTGGAAAACTGACTGACCGTGGGTCGTGAAAGACAGCAGAGTCCAGGAGGCCTCTAACAGCTTTGGCACAACAGTAGAAGAGGAGGAGCTGCCTCCTCCTGAGGTGGAGTGTCTGCGCGCAGAGCAGCATAGGGTAGGGGTGGAGGGCTCAGGAGTTTCATTTGGGCCATGCAGATAGAGAGCTGGAAATACAGGACTAAAGTTTGGCAGTGGCAGCGGGGGGTAGGGAGTGGGGTGGTGGTGGTAATGTCTACATTAGATAAAACTGGGAGTCATGAGCTCAAGTTTATTATTTAAAGTCAAAGGACTAGATTTAATTTAGGATTATGACTCCCAAAACAATGAGTAAAAACGACATTAAAATGCTTGATACAGTACCAGCTTTTAATTAATCTGAGATTTCAAATCTACTCCCTGTGTAAGGCAATTTCACATTTTTTATGTCTACAATACTTAGTACAGTGCCTTACATTCAGTAAATCAATCGATCAACCTTGAAGTGGTATGTTCATGTATTCCCTAGGTGACCTGGGCAAGTGACAACTTGTCCATGCCTCAGTCTTCCTCAAAATAATAGGGATCATAATAATACCTACTCTCCAGGTTTGCTGTGAGACTTAAATGGGCAAAGTGCTTAGAACAGGGTTTAGTACAGAGTAAACACTAGATAAGGCTTTTTTTCCTCCTGGTTCTCTAACGGCTTGTCCTCAGGAGCAGAACTTACCCAGAGCCTCAACAGTCCTAAATGCGAAGGCATCCAATTCTGTATCTCTGGTCCATCTCTTATCTGATGAGACTCAAGCCGCGATACATGCAACCGTCTAGAGGACTTGACATTTCAATAGAACGCACATCCTTCCCTGCAAAATTTGCTCCCCTATGGCACTTGCCCGCTCCCCCATTATGTAACCTTGCCCCTAACCCAACAATAGCTCCCCATTACCCAGACAACGATGTCAGAAGTCTCTGACAGAGACAGACCTATCTTCCTCGCCTGATTCCTCATGCTCCAGCCTTTAGGGTCGTCCATCCAATCTGTATCCTCTCTGAACTACCCACCCTTCCCATCCCAGCACCTGTGTAGACTCGGACCCACCTTCCAGGTCTCAGCATGTATGTGTATGATGGGAGCTGGGGGAGGTGGTTATGAAGCAGGTGGCAAGGAAGGAACCTCTCCCTTCGGAGTACTCCCTCAGAAACCTCTTTTTAACACTCTCCACAATTGGCCTTTGAGACGAAGACTGCTTCCAAAACTATGAACATCAACAGGGGAGCCTCTGCTGGGCCCCCCAGCAAAGAATCCAAAGATGTATGAAATAAGGATTAATTCAAAACAAAACCACCAGACCACTACTGTATTTATTTGAAGAGCAATCTGAGTGGCTTAGTGAGACACACGGTAGGGTGACATCTGCCCATGTTGGAATGCATGGGTAGCGAGCAAGGTGGTGTCCAAACACGTTACAAGTGGGGTCCTTCTATCTCCTCCCTGCTGATTAAGCTGGCTTTACTGTCAATGTAAACGTCATACACACTCACACAGGTGGTTTTAAACTTTATACAGAAAGCGACGCACTGTCAAATTTTCAATGTGAAAACTTACAAAAGCAAATGTATGGGCTGAGTTTCTGCAATTTAATAAACAGTTTTATGTAATCTGCTTTCCTGGTTTTCTCCTAAACCCAAATACTTCAACTGGTATAAAACCACTTGAATGCATACATTCTTTAACTGAACTCATGTATTATTTCAAACCGTTTTAGCACATACTTATCTATACCTATAGTGGCAAAATTTTCTTTTATAAGCTTCAGCATGCCCTGGAAATAGGGTAAAGGCAGAGATCAGGAACGGAATCCAGAACTCTCATTCCCATCTTCCTGGCTGGAATTTGACTCTGCTGAACCCACAGCACTAAGCCGCCTTGAATGCAGAACAAGTGCTCAAGAGATACCACTGCGCTGTTTGGTTAAAATAAACATCTGGCAGGCTCAAGCCACCTGACAGTGCGCTTCATGGCCTTTTTGTCCGGAAAAAGTGGCTGTGCATCGCCCATCGCCACGAGGAACCTTTCATATACACCAGGATCCACAAGCACCTTCTGTAAAAGACCACTGCAGCAAGAAAACAGCTATAGACAACACATAAATGAGTGGCTGTGTTCAAATAAAACCTCATTTTTAAAAAATGAGACGGTGGTGTTTGGCCTATAGGAGTAGGTTGCCAACCTCACATATATCATGTGACAAGAACTCCTTGAGTTGTGGCACAAGTGCAGTAAAAGTGTTCACATGCTAGCTACTACAAAGGTCATTGGTTCGAAAGTGTTCACATGCTAGCTACTACAAAGGTCATTGGTTCGAAAGTGTTCACATGCTAGCTACTACAAAGGTCATTGGTTCGAACCTACCAGGCACCCTATGGGAGAACAGTGTGGCCAGTGGCTTCCATAAAGATTTTCAGTCTTCAAAACCATATGGGGCAGTTGTACTCTGCTCTATTAGGTTGCTAAGGAGTCAGAATCAACTTGATGGCAGTGGGCTGGGTAAGTCATGTCATGATGCTGGCTGGTCTTGAGTGAAAAGTAAAAAAATTAAACAGAACAAAAGCCAAACCCACTGCCAAGTCGATTCTGATTCATAGCCACCCTGTATGGGGTTTTCAAGGTTGTAAATCTTTACAGAAGTAGATAGCCTCAACTTTCTCCTGCAGAGCAGCTGGTGGGTTTGAACGGCTGGCCTTGTAGATAGCCACCCAGTGCTTAACCCAACAGCACCACCAAGGCTCCTTAATTCAAACTTTAAAAAGTGCTCCCGTGCTCGCTTCGGCAGCACATATACTAAAATTGGAACGATACAGAGAAGATTAGCATGGCCCCTGCGCAAGGATGACACGCAAATTCGTGAAGCGTTCCATATAAAAAACAACAACAACAACAACAAAAAAAAAAGTGCTCCCAAGCCATCCACCCTGATTTCATAACCTGGTCACACAGAACAAATGGCAAACAGACACAGCCTGAAAAAGCAGTCCTCTCGGAAGCCTCAAGCTACTACACGGAGTACTTCCACAGACACAGCACTGGAGCACTGAACCTGACAGGAGAGGAGGAAGTGTCAGCTTACCTGGGGACTGTGTGTGCATCATAGAGGGAGACTGATTGACTGTGCTGTGGTAAGATGTAGGAGGGGAAGTCAGGGGATATACACCTGATGATCCAGGTTGCTTCGGAAATGGCTGGAAAAAAATAAACATTCAATATGGCATGGCAGTGTGGCGTCCTTTGGCAACAGCTACTGTGTCCACACTAGACACCACACACATTTCGCTGATTACCAAACAGGAATCACAAGGGATGAAATGTGCTAACTCCACATCAATAACACAGACGGGAAAAGAAACTTCCAAGATATTTTAAAATCCCCACATCCTCATTCCTGAGCTTATATCCATCAAGATAGAGGTAGGTGTTTTATTTCTTCGCTCATTTACCATATTGCACCAATTCTTGCTGCTGTTCGGTGCTGTCCAGGGAACCAACTCAGAGAACAGAATGGTGTGGGGGTGGGGGGGCACACATTTTTAAAGTATCACTGACACCCAGGTGTGTCTTTCAACTGATGGCCTGTCATTTCAACTAAGTGTTTTTGTTTTAAGGGGTAGGGTGGGGGAGAAGACAAAAAACACCAAAACTCGTGGCCATTACATCGATTCCAACTCATAGCAACTCTATAGGACAGAGCAGAGCTGCCCTTTTAGGTTTTCTTCCTTAGCATGTTTAAAAAAAAAAACAAGGCTTGCCCTATGTTTTGAGGAATCTTCCAATCAATGAAATACAGTAATTGAATCTGCCTTCTGGTAACATCTACCCTAACTCTTACTAATTTAAAATCAAGGAAAATCTAATTACCCTTTTTTTTTTTTTATTGAGATATTGTTGTTAGGTACCATGGAGTTGGTTCCGACTCATAGCAACCCTGTATACAACAGAACGAAACACTGCCCAACCCGGCACCAGCCTCACAAGTGTTGTCGTCATGTTTAAGCTCCAAATTGAGGTACGACTCACACATTAATAAAGTGTCCAGATCTTAAGTGTACAACTTGAGGAAATTTTTACAATTGTAAACTACCACACTCGATCATCAAGACTCCATACGTCTCCCTTGAGCACCTTGCAAGTCTGCCCCACCTCCCCAACAGGAAGCATCACTCAACCTACACCGTGTCCTCTTCAGTGCTTAGCTTCTTCTGCCAGGGAGTTTCATCCATGCTGCGCATGTAGCATTCACACTCACTGCCACCGAGTCCATGCTGACTCTTAGCAAACTGAGAGGACAGGGTAGAACTGAGTTTCTGAGCCAGTAACTGTTTGCAGAAGTAGAAAGCCCTGTCTTTGTCCCATGGAGCGGCTGGTGATTTCAAACTGCCGACATAGTGGTTAGCAGCCCAACACGTAATCACTACGTCACCAGGGCTCTTCTTGTAGCATTAGAGACGGTCTTTTGCGTTTCATTGCATGAATAGATTCCAATTTATTCACCCATCCTATTGATGGACAATGAAGTCCACGATTTTTTGGATAACGTTGCTGTGCATATTCTTTCATATGTTTGGATGTGTTCCATTTCTAGCCATTCAGAATACCATCAAATTCTATCCAAAGCATTCGTATCATGACAACTGGTAGGAGAAGAGTTGCGGTTGCTCCTAACCCCAACTGTTGGCAAGGATGACCAGTTGGCCTTATTTGTAAGTGTGGGTGTGGAGTGGGATTTCACTGGGGTTTCTACTTGTATTTCAGGCCGGGTGGACATTTGTGCCCCACCCCTGCTTTTGGTGAAGTCTTGACTCTTTCATCCAGTTTAAAAACTAGGTCTCCCTTTTCTTATTGATTTTTCCTATTTTATTCCAACAAAATTAAAGAATCCAGGATAACACATGAGCTGTAAAATCGACGTGACCTTAATAATAAAAATTACAATGTTCTTAAATTTGTATATGTTCCTTTCCTTTCTCATGAACTAAAATTGCACACTATGAAGAAGAAAAGCTATCTGCTAGCATTAAACAGAGTTTATGAAACCCTTCGTGAACACCACCCCCCCTTTAGAACTCTCTTATTAAGTAGATCTGGAGTCCGCAAACTTTTAAAATGGAAGAGCCAATCTTGTCCCTCACAACAACTTTAAAATTATTTGATTTACAAATCAAACCACCACTATCTAAATATGCGTTAAAATTTTTATAAATGAAAAATATTCATATAAATGAAACTATGACAGTTTCCTTTTCATTTTACTTCAGAGCCATATGTAGGTACCTAAACAGTCATACATGGCCTGCTAGCCAGTTTGCTGACCCCTGAAATGGATTAATCCCTTAGAAATTAAGAGCATAGTATAGTATTAGAGTTGCTATTAGTCACAACCGACTTGAAGACAGAGGTTTCGGCTTTTCCTCTCAATAGTATAAGCTACCTTGTAAAGAGAAAACGGAAACTTCCCCTCCAAATGCTCTGTTTCTATGAGTACTTAAAGCCAAAGTCATTGACTAAAGACATTAAACTACAGCAGTCCAAAGTTCTCGTCAAAGAATTCTGATGGACATTAAATAGCAAATATTTTCATTAAAAAAAAAAAAAGCTTACAGATTGAAAACAGAGCAAGAAAAAGCAAAAAATTTCTAGCATTCTCAAAAAGTACAAATTATCTTAACTTTTCTAAGACATTCTAATGTTTCGTCATCTATGTACTTCTAAATCTTTTGCCTTAGGCTGGGAATTCAGGAAGAAATGCCACTGGATCTTAACAAAATCAGTGTATCAGTAACCCAGCATATAGACGTTCACTTGGTCAGATTATGGTCTGTAAGTAACAGAATGTGGATGGGCCACTGTACAACTTATTGTACAACAGTGTACCATATTCTCCCTCCACTGTCTCCATAACTTTGGCCCTGTTATGGCTATGGCCAGAAGCCAGCTTAGATTTGTAGATCTCGTCTCAAGTTACTTGTTCCCATGCCCCCCAAACAGCTTAAAGCCCTTGCTCCACAGCAGGTACAGGGAGGGCCTCCATCACAAGAAAGCGGCTTCCACAGACAACAGCTGCTCTTGCACCTGCTGGGCTGAGGCACTTCTCACCAGGAGTGGCCCAGCATCCTCACAGGGCCTACTCAAGATCACCTGACTCAAGGCAACCCATCACAAGACCTGCTGAGGGAACACAGGCCTTACATCTGGGTTACTTAGAGGCATTCACATGAGGTTTTACTGAGCTGCTCTGTATCTTCATAAAGGTTAAGAATAAAAGCAGGTAATGAGTGAGGGGGGAAAAACAAACAAAAACCAAACGCACTACCATCAAGTAGACTCCGAGTCACAGTGACCCTATACAGAGTTTCTGAGACTGAATCTTTTTTTTTTTTTTTAATGAGACTAAATCTTTATGGGAGCAGGCAGCCTCATCAAAAGTTGGGTTTGATCTGCCAACTTTGCAGTTAGCAGCCCAGTGCTTAACACACAGTGCCACCAGGGCACTTACAGTGAGGACAGAAACCCAGAAGGGTAGCTAGGGGCAATCTACTTTCCAGAACACCATGCTCTCCTTGAGAGACCAACACTCTGTCAAAGATGAAAGCACCGTAACTTCTCACGGGAGAATCTCACTTATTAGACCAGAAGTGGTTCTCACCAGACCACAAGTGGGTGCCTTTAATGAACAGCGGTGTATTTTCTTACAGTTCTGGAAACTCACGTGGTCCTGGCTGTGCCCACTGGCCCCATGGGCCTGCCTCCTAGTTTCTGCTGGCTACATCCCTGGTGTTCCTTTGAGCCTCATAGAGACAGGTTCTTCCATCACCACAAGGTGTCAGTCTTTCCCTTTTAATAAGGAATTTCACTACAATACAATCTCTTTAATGAAACAAAAGAAAACCCCTATTTTCAAATAGGGTCACATCGCAGGTCCAGAGGTGGTAAGGACTTCAACCTCACTTGGGGGTGGGGCACAACACCCAATTTAACTCAGAGGACTAGACAGTAGAAAATACTGATTGGAAAAATGTTAAGCTAAGTTAATGTTCAACACAGGTAATGCGGTTTAACAAAAGCTTATGGGTCAGACACAGTGGGTTCTTTTGTGCACGTCTTCTAAAGGATGTGTTGAGCCAAAGAGCCTTGCCTGTGGGCTGTGTGTTCACATATAACTCTAAATGTCGCCACTGAAGACCCCAGTCCAGAGATAAGAAGCTTCTCCACAGTGGTGTGAGTATATTTCAGGATAGGGAGCCACATTGGACTGAGGAAAGCCACATTAGAGGATCAGACCACTACTGGGTGACAGTTTAACAAAGGCTGGCCTGGTAGTCTGCTCAACTCTCAGAGGCGTGAAGGTGATGGGGTAGAATGCAAAGTTCTGTAAGATTCTATAATGTGGTGCATCCAAATGGGCTGAGGACAGAACCATGTCCACTTGTTCTCTGCAGCAGGCCCTCCTGAACATCACAGGCCATTCAGCAACCTGTGCACTCCGTTAATGGCACTTTCCCAAAAAGACCTCCTCAGATCCTGCACAATGTTTCCACTCTTGGGGTGGCATAGGCATTTTCAGCACATGGGTGGTCTAAAGGTCAGTGCTGTTTCTGGCACTATTTAGTCCTCATCACTGGACACCTCTCCTACTATTGTTGCTTTTCATATGGATTTCTGGGATGTCTTGGGATTACTTATGACCTCCTTGCCTTTCAATGAAGAAGCCTAGGCACCTGTAAAATCGGTTAAGTGACACAAAACATCACACTGGAATTCTAGGTAGACATTTATTACCTGCTGTTGGGCTGGTGGCTGGGGCTGGAGTTGGGATATTAAAGAATCCATCATATCTCCTCCTATAGGAGAAGGAGGATTATCATCTTCATTTACAGACCTCCTTCGGGCATCCTGATTGCTGTCAACAAACATATTCAGGAATGTCTATGGACATAAACAAGGACAATTCAGATGACTATCTCACTTTCAAACAATATTTCTAAACATTCAGAACATTTTAAAAGCAGTAGCACCATAGTACAACCATCCCTAAAACATACATTGGATACACAACCACTACTATTAGGACAACTGGGAAGCGATGACAATACTTTTGCAGGCAGGCAGAAGACTGAGAACAACAGATCGAACGCAAGAAATTGTATCGACTAAGAAATAAAGTCCAAGCAAAAAATTGAAGAAAAACACACATCAGAGTACCAGGTCAAAAAGATATTCTCATTAACTTCAGACTCAGAAATAGCAGGTAAAAGAAAACGACACATATTGTAAATTTAAGGAAGTTCAAACACTTAGGAAATTTTCCACTTCATGGGAGTTCTCACTTTTTAAAGCTAGAAAATATGACAGGAAAACTGAGGAAGACTAAGCCAACGTCTCCCTTTTCATCTCATACAATTTAGTCATGACCCACTGAGACCAGGATAGGTCGTCAATCAAAAATGTAATATTACCTTCCCCCTTCCCACCCTCCAAACAAATCGACCATAAGCCTATCAAAAAACTGGGAATTTTTTCAAAGTCCACATTTGATTTCCAATCAAAGATTACAGATTCATAGCACATACTTCATCCTTTCTCTCTTACTAGCCCCCTGAAAGGGGGAAATTGTGTCTTTAAGCAGTAAGTCACAAAGACAAAAACCAATAGCAGAGAAGAGCAAAATATTCTGGAGAGGGTGAAGCAGATGGTTGAGTGGTGACTCAATTACTGATGTGAATTTCCCAACTGAAAAGGCATCCGTGTGACATTTCAGAACAAGAATGACCAAAGGAAGACGGCAGCGGCTTTCTTAGACATGCAGGAATTGGAAGACATGAACCACATCAACAGTCACAGTGGAAGCCAGGAGAAATGAAGCGAATGCCCTAAAAATTCGTACAGAAAATGGACTCCCACTTAGAATCAATTCCTTGTCTAGCTACTCACTCAATGAGCTTGATGGCAAACTAAAGATGTTTCCAGACAAGCAAGTCTCAAAGTAACCTTCCTCTCTCAAGAAGCTGCAACAGAAGGCACAGCACCAAAACAAAGGAGTAAACCAGGAAAGAGACACGAAGTATTGAATGCAGTAAGCGCTCTGTTGCACTACTGGGATTATAGTTGAGATAGTGACAGAAAAGCTAAACTAGAAAAAAAAAGCCAATAATTAACCAGGAAAATAAAATAATGAGCAAAGTAGGGAAAGTAATCATAATACACTAGATGGTTCAAGGAAGTATTTATATATTCATAATAATACAAACACTGGAAAACTATTACCTGTTATAGGTTGGATTATGTCCCCCCCTAAAATGTATGTTGTAAATCCTAACCTCGATGCCTGTGGTTATAATTCCATTTGGGTACAGTTGTCTTTTATGCTAAGGAGGCAGTATTGCTATGGTTAGGTGTGGCTGAGTCGGTTCTGACTCACAGCGGCCCTGTGTACAACACAAGAAAACGCTGTGCTCAGTTCTGCGTCATGCCTACCACTGGTATTCAGTTTGGGCCCATTGCTGCAACCACTGGGTCTAGCTCACTGCAAAGCTTCCTCTTTCCACTGACCCTTCACACGTGCGGTATTTCTGTTGTAGCAGCACTAGTTAACTAAGACACGAACCACTTTGCAAGGAGAGAAGGACAAAGAATATGTTCATGTAATGGGGACAGTCTGAAAGGAGAAAGGAGTGTGCAAAAAAGAATGAACATCTCAATCTTCCACTGTGAACATCAGTTAAGGCCCGAAACGGAAACACTGTTTTAAAAGAGAGAGAGAGCAATGTGAGCAGGGTATTCACAGAAAAGGAGATAACAGGAGTAGCAGCTGAGAGTTGAAAACGGACCTGTGAGAAACAGGAAAATGGCAAGAGTATGTCACAGGAGACTATTGGTCAAAACAAGCCTTTTAAAATGATTTGATTCTCTTCGGGGGCTGTGGTCCAGAACCCTACATTTTAAGAAAGCATGATAGTTGTTCCTGTTAAGTTCCTCACGGCCAGTTGGGGTGTCCCCACCAGCAAACTTTTTGGTATCTTCCACCTCACTCAGTCAGAAAATAAAGGAAAGGCCTTTTCACCATTGCATACACATAACCAGTTGCCACTTTGCCAGAGCTTCTAGCTCAGGTAATTCTAGTTCCGAACTTCAGAAAGAAGCTTCAGAGATCACAAATGTACATTCACCTCATTAAACAGAACAAGAACTTTTTGCGTTTCCTCCTCAGTGGAATTGTTTCAGAGATCATTTTTATTTCCTCTCACAAAATACGCTCTCAACATTAAAGTCTGTTACCTTTAATCCTGGCGCAGGATAAAAACCTTCAACTAGTTTGCTATTATCAAAAAGACTATAGGCACCATCCCGAATTGCTACAACGCCTCGACTCCGGCAGTATATGTCGATGCAATACATGTTCCTGAAGGCCAGTCTGATGTGGGTGGATGACTGTGGCAGAATAGAGAAGCACTGATAGGCAGTGTTGGTTCTCTGGGTCAAACCCAACATGGGCACGGTGGGAAGCTTGTTGATGGCATTTAAGGGAGCCTGAGTGTCAAATAGGACCTGTAAGGAAGAAACAGTGAGAGGTGTTGAAAGTTTCTACAAACTAGAACACCTCAGAAGTTCCCTGGTAAACAGTCCCACATAAGGCCATGCCCTTCCAGCATATTCCATAAAACTTCTTGGGGGGATGAAGGTAAGGGGGATGCAATTAGATCGCTGTATCCACTTTGAATTAAAGAAAATTCTCAGGGGGGAAAAGCAAAATATAACAACACAAAGGCCCTGTTCATTAAAACGCCAGGAAATCCACAGGACTTTTGAGTTTTGTTTGAGACCCTGGCATAGGTCGGGTCTTAAGTTTAAACAGAAGATAAACTCGATCACCTGCAACAACTGCACCACGTTTGGTGTCTTGTTGAACATCTCTTGAAGCTGGTGGAGGATGGTGTTGTGACAGTTACTGCAGCCTGAGTTTGGGCCAACAGTTCCTAATGAAATGTGAAATTTCTGATGTCCAGAATTCCATTGGATACTAATCTAAATAAAAGAAAACACATGTGCTTTAGATACTGAGAAATCAACAGATTTGGGGAGAGTTAAAAAAAAAATCTCCATAGCAAAAAGCCATGTTACTAAACTAAATAACATCTTTTTTGAAGGTAAAAAATAAGACTCAACTCCATAATTGCCGGTGTGCTGTTAATATGGACCAGTATATTATTTGAACATGTAATGTGCTAGATGGCCCACTTCTACTCCCAGGGGGTACCCAAAAGAAACCGGAAAAAAATTCCACTGGGCAGAGCTTTCCTAGTACACATTTTTCCCACTAAGCGAGCACTGAGCAACTCGCTCTGAGTTAGTGCACCCAGCAGCATTGCCTGGGAAGGTTCTCTCTGGTCACTGTGAAAATGTTTTTTGTAAAAGCAGTTTCACTCAAACCTTGTTTTTGTGATGGCTGACTTAAGAGAACACCATGTGGCTGTGAAGTTTTGTTTCCTGCTCTGGAAAAATGCCACAGAAACTATTGTGATATTGAACACAGCTTACAAAGACAACGCTATGGGAAAAACTCCAGTGTATGAGTGGTTTTCTCATTTCAAAGAAGGTGAAATGTCCATTGATGACAAACCTTGTTCTGGACGTCCATCAACTTCCCAGACAAAAATGTTGACACAATTTTTGCACTGGTGCTCGAAGACAATAACGGACCATTGAAGAGGTAGGGAAGTTACCTGGACTATCTTGGAGCTCGCTTCAGCGAATTTTAACAGAAGATTTGGGAATGAGAAGGGTCGCTGTGAAATTTGTGCCTCGGGTTCTGACCGACCAGGAAAAAGAGCTTTGAGTGGAAACATGTCATGCTTTGAACAAATGGCTCCTAAGCAACCCAGACTTTTTCCCCAAGGTCATTACTGGTGACAAGACATGGTGCTATTCTTAAGAACCCAAAAACCAACATCAGTCAAGCTAATGGAAGAAGCTGTCACCTCACCCAAAAAAAGCTCATCAAGTAAAATAAAAAAAATCAAGACAATTCTTTTTTTTTTTTTCATGTGAGAGGGATAGTGCATTTGGAGCTCATTCCACCAGCTCAGCTTTCTGTTTAGATTCTGAAAAGATTGCGCAACAATGTGCGACAAAAAAAAGGCCTGATTTGTGGCAGAAGGGGGACTGGTTTTGCCATCACAACAATGCAGCTGCTCATGCAGCCATGTCAGTGAGCCAGTTTGGGGCAAGACACAGCATGCCACTCTTGCCCCACACACCTGACTCACCTGAAATCACTCTGTGCAACTTCATTTTGTTTCCGTAAATGCAGAGGGACATCAAAGGACAGGGATTTGACAAAGTAGAAGAGGTGAAGGGAAATGAAAGGGAGGTGCTGTCAGTCATCCAAACAGATGAGTTTGAAAAATGTTTCCAAGAATGGAGTGGCAGATTTGACAAATGTATTCAGTGTAATGGAGAGTACTTTGAAGGTGAGACGGTTGTTTTATTTAAATTTTAAATACATACATAGCTTTGAGGGAAAAAAATTCCGGTTTGTTTTTTGGTGCCCCCTCATAAACAGGAACAGCATTGCAGAAAAAAATTATTTAAAATCTATCATTGGTCTTTATTTCTCTCCTTCCCGCCATCTCCCAGAACTTAAGAAATATCATCATCACCAATACCATCTATACCAAGGAGCACCTTCATAAATGGGAAGGTCTGCTTAACCGATTCTGAAATACGACAAAACACACTGTCATCTTCCTTAAAATCATTTTCCAAGCAGATTTGAAGTCAGTGAAGAAAAAGAGTACAAATTGGGGGGGGGAATATACTGCCTTATCAAAAAACTCTTCAAGGTCATATACCACAGCAATTAGGGCACTGCTTCCATTTCTGGCATAAATGGGTAAGGGAAAACATTATCATATACAGTAGCATATTTCGATCAATAAGATTTTTTAAATTCACCATACTGTCCATATTTTTACTTGAGCTCAGTCATTTTGAAACCGTTTTCTTATTGTAGGATTTGGTAACAATGGGTTGGTCCGCTAGGCACTTCGGCGTTTTCATTCATTCACAGACTTAGCGTAAGCTGTGTAAAGCTTATTACTTACTGAGCTTCCCTTGGTGGTTCCATAACACAAGATCAGTTTTCGATAATTATAAACACGGACTTCTGAGAAAATATTTAGATGAGCAGGTATCTCTAAACAATAAGGAAACAAAAGATTAAGATTATACATGCAAATTTTAAGAATCTAAACTTGGAAAAGAGAACATTTGGGATCTATTACACACTGAGGTAGGCAATTCTCTAAATACAGGCAATCATTGTGTAACTGCATATATTATCTTTGGTTCCATAAAGCTGTTGTGTTACTTTTATTTGTTTATTTAAATAGAGACAGACAACAGCTCTCTTTTTATTATTTCCCCCAGTGATTTTAATGAGTATGGTGGCACTGTTGGGTGTAAGACTTCAATGTCGGTGGTTCAAAACCACCAGATGCTCCTTGGGGTAAAGATAGAGTTATCTGCTCCCAGAAAGACTTACATTCTTAGCAACCATATATAAGGTCACTGAGTGGGAATAGATTCGATGGCAGTGGTTTGTTGCCGTTGTTTTCAGTGGTTTTAAAGACCTCAAAGACAGACTCTTGCAATACTGAACTATGAGTGGGATACAGAGAGAGGCGAGGCAGAGGCCATGACTTGCATGCTTTATCTGATGGGCAGGAGAATGGCGGCGAGAGGCCTGGGTTGTTGCTGCTCAGGTGGGTAGAACAGGCAGAGCTATGCACATCCTACTCTCTCCCTCCACTTCTGCTGTATCCCCCTGAGCAGGCACAGCTGGCGTTGCCTCCCATTCCTCTGACTTTTCTCAGCAGCTCTAGCAACAGCAGCAGAGGCACCTTGGAAGCAAACTTCCATAGGGTTCTTTTTGTTGGGGGAGGGGGGGGTGTCTTCCAGAGAAAACCAGCTAGACAAATTTTAAAAGAGCTCTAACACTCCTATATGATGTTCACACAACATCCAAATCACTTACAATGTCCTATCTATTTCACAGAACGTATCATGGACACTAAGCAACACATACCTGTATATTTGGTTAAAAAAAATGTAACAGTATAAATACATTGTATGTTCTATTACTATAAAAGGAGTCCTGAGTGGGGGGCAAGATATGCTGAGCAGCACAACTAAGCATAGAGGCTCAAAAACCTCACTGCCATCAAGTCGATTCCAACTCATAGTGACTCTCCAGGACAGGGTAAAACTGCCCCTGTGGGTTGCTGAGATTGTAACTCTACACGGAGTGGAAAGCCTCATCTGTCTCCTGAACATGGAGACTCCGGGGTTTCACCCGCAGGTCTGTTTCTTACAGCCAGGTGAACTGCTGCAAGCTATTTAAGTCTCTGACTTTTCTTTATTTGTAAAATAGGGAACACTAAAATACCTGTCTTTTTCTTTTTTTAATAAAATACCTGTCTTATAGAGTGACTGTGAGTATTAAATGATTTAACACAAGCAAACTGTTTAATTATACTGTGACATGTAGGAAGTTCTCCTTAAGTATTAATCATTATAGTACACCGATGTTATCAAAATTACTAGCTACATAAGAAACTTAATGGTGGTTGTCTCTAAGGTTAGAAACTGGAACCTGAACTGAAAGGAGACTTAATTTTTCATTGAGATATCCTTTTGAAAGAAAAAACGTTGACCATGTCCGTGTTTTCACCTTAAAAAGAAAAGGCCCCCCACCCACCCACCAAGGAATATTATCACATGTACCTGGTAAAGAATGTGCAAATTCCAGCACACACTCATATAATCGGGCAATGCTAGTCCAGTCATTAAGGAACATTTCAACCACTTTTCGACCACCAACGGGTTCAGACAACAGATTTTCATATGTCAGATATACATGCCTGGACGGCCCTATAGGAAGAAAAGAGAAAATTAATAACGATACCGGGGGGATAAAATGCAAAGGCAAAGTGGGCAAAATAACTCACCTTGCTCCCTGGTTGAAGTGCCATTAAGCGGGCAATTTGCAAACACTAGCTCTGCCACCCACGTGCGGTTATTTCTCCCTTGTAATCGGAAAGTGCAGTCAAGAAGCGAGCGGTCCAGGGTCTTTTGGGTTTCCTCACTTACACCCTTACATGGAGGAATTCTGGTGACGAAAGACAGCATGTGAAGAGCACTGCCCATCAAAAAAAGCATAACATGCACGACAACAGGCATGGTGAGACTAGAGCTTCAGTTCAAAGCCCAGTACTAAGTTCTGCAAAGGAAGGAAGGAAGCAATTCATAGCACCTGACCCACTCACATGTACGGAGGCTCAAAACGCACTGCCATCAAGTCGATTCCAACTCATCGTGACCCCAGAGGACAGGCTGGAACTGCCCCTGTGGGTTTCCACGACTGTAACTCTTCATGGGAGTAGAAAAACTCGTCCTCCTACAGAGGGGCCAGTGCTTTGTTTCAAACTGACCTTGCGGTTAGCAGGCCAACATATAACCCACTACTACCCCCACCGGGGTTCCCACCATGGATTAGGGCTCTCATTTGAACAAAGTGACATTTGCCTTCATCTTTGATCTTGTTATTAAAAAACAATGTAATGCTTCAGAATGAAAATCAAGGACCAGGGACAAATAACAGAAGTATGGGTGAAGGGAGACAATGGAAAGTGTAAGATACAAAATAAAAACAATATATCATTTATCGAGGGTTCATGAAGTTGGTGGGGGGGAGGGGCTCAAGCAGAAAATGTTTTGGAAATGATGATGGCAACATATGTACAAATATGCTTGATACAATTGATGGAATGTTATAAGAACTGTAAGAGCCCCCAACAAAACTATTTTAAGAAAAAAGAAAGAAAATCAAGGACCATTTCTCTTAGAACTCTATGGAGAACATCTCCAAGGAAAAGCTATGAGAAATAAGACTTGTAAACCCACTCTTTGAGGGCAGGATGCTATATAATGGGGCAAAAACAAGGATTGGAGTCAACGACCTATGCTTTAATTCTGCCTCTGCCAAATTTAACCTCCCTGAATTTCAGTCTCTCAACTATAAAATGGACATGATACTATCTTATGGCTGACTGATGAAAACAAAATATACTTAAAAAGCTTAGTGGGGTGGCTGATACAACAAGCATTCATGTCAGTTTTCTTCTACAGTAACAGCAAATCTTGCTCACTGACTGCTAGCACAATGGTCTGGAGTCATAATTCCTACTCCGCTCCCCTGCCCCGACGCTTCTGCTGTGTGGGTGACGTTCACTGTGATATGCAAACAGGAAGTTACATGAAGCAAAGAAAACCCAATGGATTCCATAAAAACCCCCTTGTGAGCAGGGGTGGGGGAACCTTTTTTCTGCCAAGGGCCATTTGGATATTTATAACTGCATTCATGGGCCACACTAGTCAAATATTTGATGAGTTCACATGTGATGGCTGGAATGGCTTTTCTTTGGCGAGGTGGGTGATGTTAACTGGGGTTGATGATTTCTCAGGCCTTATACAGCCCGTGGGTCAGATGTTCCCAACCACTGGACTAGAGGATCACAGTAAACCATCTGTTACTGGAAAATTAACTTGGGGGCGGAGAAGGCGGCACGGCAGCAACAAGAGCAGTATTACACAAGAGCTCAAAAGTAAACATTGTGAGCATGTTGTACTTCTCAGATTCCTATTTAATTTACTTAGGCCTGAAAGCTTAAAACAGTTTCTGGAGATGAATACATCTGCATGAGTAACTACATATTAGATCTGTGCAAGATATATAACCTTTAGAAACTCATTTGTTCAATTGTATATCCTCTCCTTCTCAAGTCTTAAAGAAAACAAAAGCCAGGAACATAAGAGGCTTTCCTTAGAAACAGATGTAAATTGAAGCTAAAAACTGAAGTGCTTCTTGCCACTGCTCCCGAGAGTGTCTAAGGCTGTAATCTTTACAAGTCAAGGAGGAAGTGTGGTTGGTGGTGTTATATGGAGGGGCTTGCATACGAATTCGAATGTGTGCGAATTGCTGAATGTGAAACTGATGATCTGCTCTGTAAACTTTCACCCAATCCATAATAAAGTCTAAAAATGAAACTGCTAAAAAAAAAGCTGCTGACCAAGTTATTTTTTAAATCTTGCAGAGTATGAAAAATATAACTAAGGGAACAGAACACATAAATGTTACTATCTGTATGTGCCAAGAGTGAAAAGAAAAAAAATGTTTTAGGCAGAATTCAAAATCAAAGTATTACATTTTCTTATTGATTTCCTTAAGATTATCTCTCCTCCTAAAAAATGTCTGCAGAGATGATGTTATGGTGAGTCAGCTGGAAAGAGAAGCTTTCTGGTACTACTTCGAATCTATCTACAGCAGGGTGGGGAATGTCTGGCCAATGGGCCACCTAAGGCCCAAGAAATCATCAGTACCAGCTAAAGTCACATGTCTCACCAAAGAGAAGCAATTCAGGCAGTCACATTAGGTATGCAGTAATTAAATGTTTGACCAAATACAGCATGCTAATTTTTAAGTTGATAATTTTGTATGGCCCATTAAATATTCAAATGGCTCTTGGCACAAAAAAGGCTCCTGCCACCCCTGATCTAAAGCAAGCACAAGGATGCATACGTGCAAATGCATGCATGTGCACACAGGGACACACATGCAGACAGGTACACGCACGCATGCACTACTATCCCTCAACTCCAGAATTTGAGTTTGCTCACCCTTCTCATCTTCCACCTAAGCAAAATGATTACTGACCAGCACATGCTAAAGCCCCACTGGCTCAAATGACAATGGTGACAAAGTCCAAGAATAATAATTCCTCATCTAACTTGTATTATTGAGCAGTATCGAAGAAACAACAAAATGCCAAAAAGAAAGCTGTGTTCTAGACCAAAAAAAGATGGTTTTTGAATGGTCTTCGAGCTTTGGAATAGCTTACATGGGGTCACTTTATAATGCGTATGTCTAAAACACAAGGTGGCTTCAAGTGTGTGGAAAAATTCCAGTCTCTTCATTTCATTTTCTCATGAACTTTCTGAAACCTCCTTGCTTTACTTTTAAACAACCTTTGAACTGCTTCTAGCCATTTAGAACCAAGTCCTCTGCCCATCTGCCTTGTATACTCTTTCCTGAGATCTAATCTACCAACTCAGCTCAGTTACCATCACTATGGTGATGGCTTTATCTGTATCTCCTATCCAGACCTGTTATCTGAGCTTGAAACACATCCCTGCCAGTACCTCACACTTAGCAAACCAAAACCTCATTGCCACCAAGTCAATGCTGATTCACAGTGACTCTATAGGACAGGGTAGAACTGCCCCTGTGGGTTTCTGAAACTAACTCTTTACAGGTGTAGAAAGCCCTGTCTTTCTCCCGTGAAGTCGATGGTGATTTCAAACTGCTGACTTTGTGGTTAGCAGCCCAACGCATAACCACTTGCCACCCAGACTCCTAGCAAAGCCCCTTCAAACTTACATCTCCTTTTGTGTCCCTTATCTAAGAAAACATTACCATCACCCAAACATTTGCCATACATAAAACTGAGTCATCTTGCCACCTACCTTCTTGCACATCTCTCACAACAATCAAGTCACCAATCCTTGAATATTGCTCTCCACCACCCTAGTCCACATTATCAACAACACTGGTGTGAACTATTTTGGTAAATGGTTTCTCTACTTCAGTCTTGTCCCCCTATTTATTCTCCACATTACTATCAAGATGAGCTTTCAAAAACACCCATCTGATATCAGGTTCCTGCTTAAAACCATCTGAGAGCTTCTTATTATTCTTAAGATCAACTCTAAATTTCTTAAGGACACTACCAAGCCCCATTAGGCTCAAGCCTCTCCCAATTACATCTCTAGCTTCATCTCTTCTACCTCCTGCTGGGTTAATCTTTTAGTTCCAAGATGTCATTTCTCTCTGGCCTCCAAGCCCACATTCCTGCTCCCATGCTCCCTCCTTTCCTCTGGCTCTGATTTCTCCTTCCGTCCCAGTACAATTGGTCCTTCTCTCAGGGATATGCTACCTGACTTCTGAACGAGCAGCTGCCTCTGCTATATGAACCATCACATCTGGAAAGGCCCTAACAGATCTCAAGCCTGACACATTGCTCCATAAATACCTGTGAAGTTAAAAAAAAAAAAATGGAGAGAGAGAAGACATCCCAAGATATCAAGTAAGGCTGGATCTTCACTTCCCAGGTCAAGGGAACCCTCTTCAGACCTTAACAATTCTGTGTGTGCATCAGGACATCCATAGGTTCTGAACTCTATGTGTCTCATGGAAGGAGAGCCACGTATGGCACCACATGAAACCAACCCTAAGCAGAGGCTTACTTTAGTAAGCGGATTGCATGACTGAAGCCATCGCCTTCCATTTGCACTCCTTGATGTGGGATCTCCAAATTGGACAACTGCAAAGAGAAAAGCACAGTGCATCACACCACCAGCTTTACAAAGGAAGCTATCCTCTCTAAGTACTATTATCTTTATTCTCGTGGAATCTGTTTGTCTGTCTGTTTGGGGGGGGACATCTATTCTTTGCCCACTAGGCATGAGCACTGCCACCGTTTCATTTCTTAGGAACCAATATCAATTTCGATGAAGTGACATTAAATTTCAGTGATGCTCAAAGCTGCCCAGATTCTCTCCTTGGTATGTGTGAGGGGGTGGGGGCTGTAGTGTGTGTGTGTGTGTGTGTGTGTGTGTGTGTGTGTGTTAAAGGCAAACAACATCCCCACAGGTGGCAAGCATTCAGAATTGGGAGTCGTGGATCTAATTTTTGCATCTAGACCAAAGTAATGTGGAATCAATTCTGCTGGGTTCAAACAAGGCAACTGTAAATAAGATGAGTTCGCTTTTCTTGTATTAATTCTAAAGCTGTTTTGTTTACTCGCAACAATGTTTGGAGTCACAACCCTAGCTCTGATCTAATCATGACAGTCTCTGTAGTTTGTAACATTTTTGAAACATATCTTGTATTTTGAACAAAATGAAGTGATTTCCCAGGTAAAACCCATGACAGGGTTTCCAATCTATGCATGTACCCAATGAGCTACCTTGCCCAACTGAAGGGTTCGGAAAATTAGTTTAATAGAAGGGATTGTGCCTCAAACTGTGCCCTTGAAGTTGAAGGTTACTAGGTTGCCCAAAAAGCCAACTGCCTTTGGCAGTTATTTCTATGTCTTTTATGACAGGCTACTTGTTGATACCCACTCTGTTGCAGGAAGGGCTCGAAATATGAGTGAACTCTGCTGTTTAGGCCTGGAAAGGGCAGCAATTTAGCAAATATGTGCTGACCAAAGAGACAGTAAGGGTTTGCGTTCAGAAAAATGCAAAGTGAGAAGGGCTGGAAAATGTTGCTATTATTCTATCAGTTAGCGATATAAGCATCTCTAGATGTTTGGTTATTTACATCTCAGGATAAATGG